TTGGAGATTTGTTAGTTTTGAAAAATACAAAGAGATTGGTAATTTTGAATTTGTATAGCAAAAATTGTTTTTTTGATAGTTTAATGATAGGGTTTGTTAGTGAATATTGTAGATTGGAGATTAGGACTTCTAATTATAAGTTTGATATAAGTTTGATATTAAATATGTATAAATTATAAAATTACAATTAGATAAAGTTCTTTTGATGTTGAATTTATATTTTATTGTTGAATTAATTTTCCTTTGAATTTCTTTGAGTATGTTTAGAATAAGAAAGGTTGTTTATAGTTTGTATTCAATATGTGGGAAAAGGACTTTTTTATAGATATAAATTGTTATATAATCTGTTGTGAATTTGGATTTGAGCACTTGAGTTATTGTTTCAATATCTTCTAAAATTTTATTGCAATTAGAATAGAGGATACTGTATTCAGAAAGCCATATTCTTAAAATTTTGATTGGTTTTTTTTTGGAGATTGGAAAAATAAGAATTGTTCTTTGCATAAGTTTTTTATCAGTTATTAAGCTGTTTATTATTATTAGTTTGGTTTTTGTTAAATTGGCTTTGATGTCATTAAGTTTGAAAAATTTAGTTGCTATGTTAAGATTGTTTTGAATTTTAGTTTTTGTAAATGTTAGAAGATTAAGATTGTTTATATAGGCTATAATATTGTGTTTGAGTTGGAATAATTGTTGTAATAAGGCTATAATTAGAGGGTTATAAAATATAATTCACTATAGATGTGAAAGTGTTTCTCCTTGGTCGATTCCATTAGAAATAGTGATTGGTTAAGTAAGACCTGAATCTGTAATAATTTGATAAGAATGGTCCATAAGAATATTACTTGTAAGTAAAATAAAGATATTTGAGATATAAAGGTATTATATTAATTGTTTAAGCATTTCCATATTAATAAAGTTAAAATTTGTGCTGATGTCAAGTGAAAGAATCCATAGTTTCTTTTGTAAGAATTTCCTAATATTATAAATTGAATTGAGTATTTGGATAGGTTCAAATATGCTTTGGTTAAGAAGGTTAACAAAGTTGAATCTTTGGAAAACTTTGTGTATTGTTAGGATATAGTTAAGTCTTTTAGTAAAAAATTTTGTTAAGATTTTTCTAAATAAATTGACAAGTGTGATAGGTCTGATTTCTTGAATATTGTATTTCTATTGAAATTTTTTGTTAATTGGAAAAATATAATAGTTTTTTCAATCAATTGAAATTTCTTGTAAGGAAATTATTTGATTAAATATTAAATGGAAATAGAAAAGTAATATTTTTTATATTTGTTTAATAAATAAATAGTTAATTTTGACAGAGCCTGATGCTTTATTATTGAAAAGTGAATTGATTGTTTCTGTAATTTCATATTTAGTAATTGGACTTATTAGTATATTATAAATAGAAGAGTTAATATTATTGAGTAAAATATAATATTTTTCCATTTGAGAAAAAGTTTATTGTTAATAAATTATTTGTGAAATAATTTTTTGTAGTGATTGATAATTATTTGATAGCTTAGTATTGGATTGATAATAACTTCTTTATTAATTGAATTGATTATTTTTGTAAATTATACATGAAAGTTTTTGTGATTAAGTGTTTGGTTAATCATAATTTTAAATTTCTTTTGGAGGTTTATTATATGTTGATTAATGATTTTATTAATTGTTTTCTTTCTTTGTAAGTTGTTTTCAGTTTTAAATAATTTGTAAATAATTTTAAATAATTTTTTTAATGAGTTAATTTGATTATTTTTATTATTATATAGGAGTTTAAGATTTTTAAAATCTTTTAATATTGAAGGGTTTGATAATATTGGAGTTTGTTTTATAAAAATAAAAATTATTTCTATTAAATTTAATATTATATAAATACCTTTTAAATTTATTATATATAAATTAATTTTAAAAGTTTTAATTATAAAAATTTATATTATATAAAAATAAAATTTTTAATTAGATTTATTAAAACTTGGATATTTTGATAATAAGAATAATATAAAAAATTTTTTTGGTTTAACTTTTTTTTTATTTTTATTTATATATAAACTTGCTTATTTTATTAAAAACTTATTATAATATTTTAATTAATTATATTATATTAAAATTATATTATTTATTTTATATATTTATATTTTATAACAATAACAATAATAACAATAATAATAATAATAATAACTTATTGTATTATATATTAGTGTTAAATAAATAATTTTGAAAAAATCAATAATATAAATATTATTATATAATTTTTTATAATTTTTTAATAATTTATTTTATTATTTTTTTTTCTCTAATCAGATTGCATTCGCTGTGTTTATTATTCTTTAAAGAAATATTACAATAATACATTAAGCTCTAAGGTTATATACTAAAGCTAAACTGTATCTAATGCAGAATACTTGTTAATGAGCTATATAACTCTCTAGGTATAATTATAGGAAATGATAATGTCGCTTCTTTTTCAAGACTGCTTCTTGATCTTAAGAAAAATCATTATCAGCCTATATTCAAACTGTTACTCCAATACGAATTTGTGGTCCTAAGAGGTAAAAAAAAATTTTATTTTTTAAGAAATTAAAGGGGAATTGAAAGGGTAGTAGAAGAGTTTGTTCTGATAAATAAAAATCCTCCAATATTAACTTTAATTTATTGGAATAAATCCTTTATCACCATCTGTAACTAAGCAAACCATTTAATTTTTGCTATTTCATTGTTAACCAAGAACATTTAAGAGTACTTCTAGGAGAATAATTCTTAAAATTTTATGCTCAAAGACTTCTAACCTTTAGAGAGGGTTGGTATTTTGATTGGCAATTTTTCTTTTAGCCTAATATCCAAGAATTTATAACTTCTTTTAACTAGTAGATAATTTCAAGACCCCTTTCTCCAACTATTTTTAGGATAATTAACAATAGATGTTATTGGATTGGAATAAGACTTCTTTTGATCTTAAAGAGAAAAAAAACCAGTCCAAGAAAAGAAGAGGAAACACCATAATACTTCTTAACAAAAAAAGTACTTTGTTACTTTGCTCTTTTCACTATATTCAATTGCATTATCGGGTTTTGTATTGTATGAGATAAGACATATGAAAATTATGTGTCTTGTTTATATTTCTTGCTATGTGTAGATCAACCAGTCCTAAATTTAAGCCAATCACTATTCAAGGATTTTGGGGTAACCAGAAATTCAAGGGTCAAACCGAGGTAGGCAAAATTCTCCAGAAAAATTAGAAAAAAGTTTACATGCTTGAAAAGATAGGAGGAAGCTTGAGGAAGATGAGAAAAGAGTTTCAAAAACTGTGCCAATCTTTTCTAGAATCTTGAATCTCTGAAAAAAGAGAGGAGAGTATTTTTTCTATAGGTTCTTTTTCTTAACAAAGTTTTCTTACCTTTAACTTTATAGGTAGGTATTTCTTATATTTACTTGCAAAAATACAAAAAGTTTATGTCAAAGAAAAAAAGGAACAAGTGGGGGAAACTATAGTCTCTTGGTATGAGTATTGTTAATAAAAGTATATAGACTTTATTACAAAGAAATATAAAAATTTCCTTGAAACATTTGTTTTTTGTGTTGGCAAAAGAATTAGCAGAAAGAGTTATTTTATTAAATATAATTTTTTAATAATTTATTAATTATATAAGAGTTGTATTTTATTTAATAATTTTGTTTTTAGATTTGATAACTTGAATTAATTAAATTTTTAAAATATTTACTAGAAAATATTAAATTATATTTTATTTAACATTTGAAATCTCTATATTTGATAGTTTATATTAATCAAAAATTATAGTTTTAAAGCATTTATTAAAAAATATATAATAAAATCAAATTTTTTATATTTTTATAACTATATAAACTAAAATTATAATATGAAAAATTATTTATTAATTATTAATATATATGTATATTAGTTTTATTTATTTATTTATTATTATTTATTATTTTATTATTTATAAATTATATAATCTTTTATATAACTATTTAAACAAATATTAGTTTTTAAAATTTTGTTTTTTAATATAATTTAAATAAATAATTTGATAAATTAATATTTAACTTATATAATTAAAAAATATTGATTTTTTTATATTTAAATTATAATAAAAAACTAAAGTTTATCAAAATAAAATAAAATAAAATAAAAGCTTTTTTTTTCTTAATTAGGCTGAAATCATTTATTTATTAAATTATAATGAATCATTACAATAGAAATAAAATAAAAGCTTTAATTATATATTAAAATAAAATAACTTAATATTGATTTTAATGTTTTCAAATATTTTAAAAAATTTCTAATTATCAATATTAACTTTAATTCTATTTTGTAAATATTTTTATATTAAACATATATATTATGTTTGTTTTTTTTAATATATAATTAATCAAATACATATACAGTACAGTAATTTTAATAAAACTCTCTTTTAAAATATACTGTATATTTCTAAATTTATATTTTCAAAAAAACTTTATATAATCTCAAAAGAATGCATTTAAAGAGTTTTTTATATAATCAAAGTTTGTTTAATACAAATAAAATAAAATGCAATGCTTTAAATTACATTTAATAAAATATCTAAAACAAAAAATTAATGTTTTTTTTCTGATATCTAAATTATAAAAACATAACATGTAATAAAAAAGAATTCATGTCAATATAGTATTATCATTTAATAAGAATTATTTGAATTATGATTTTGCTTTTCTATATACTTCTACGCGCTTAAAAATGTTATCTATTTTCTATTTCAATTATCATATGATACTTTACAAGTTACACTTTTCGTGTGATATAATTAAAATGACATGTGAAAAGCACCGATTTTCCTGTCGAAATTACATCAAATGTAGTAATATTCACAACTTACATAATTATATTTTAAATAAATTTGGCATTCTAGTTGATATACAAGGATTCAAAAAAGTTCCAACGTACTGTATTTATAGAGAAACGATTGTGTCAACGAATTCATTCAAGGATTCTTAAAATGGCACCCCTACCGTATCGCTTCGTGCGATTGTTATTCAGAGTATCAGCTAATGCGTTCTATGAAATCGAGGTGGATGGATTAGAAAACATACCTCCCGATGGATACCCAACTATAATCTGTCCTAATCATTCGAATTCGCTAACCGACCCTATTTGTCTTCTGAGTGCAATTCCGAAGAAAAAACGAGATATGGTACGTTAAATTATTATTTTCTTGTGAAGTCACAAATCCATCGTTCTTACGTTTGTTAAAACGATCAAGGTTCGAATGACGGCTAAAGAAACATTCTGGCAACAAAATACTATATTCAGGTTCGGTTCTTTGCTTTTTCATGTGGATTTTTGTTTTAGTAGTTCGTCTAATTTTAGTTAGTTTACAGCAAACTTATAAGATGCATTGGTACAGTACCAATTAAGCGATCCAAGGTATTAAACAAAACCAATTTTGATTTGTTTTTTTAACACTTGCTAACTTACACGCATCGCTATGTAGGATTATAATTATGCTAAAGTGGATAACTCAGAATCCTTCAGAAAATTAATTGAGGTATAGTATTAATTATATCCATTATTTTAATAGCAATAACATCTAATTTTCCACCAATATAAACCAGAGTTTAGAGCAGGGAAACTGTATCTGTATCTTCCCTGAGGGAATCAGCAGATACCATAGTAAAGTTGCGCCTTTTAAGCCTGGTGTCGCATGTAAGCAGGATTTTATTCTTTATTTCTTCGATAATTATTTTGCACAATCAATTTAAATAAATATTTTACACCTATAGTGATAGCCAGTGAGGTAATTCTTTTGCTAATTCTTTAATTATAAAGAGTTAAGTAATTTACTTTCTCCCTTCATAGACATTAACGCGTAATAAAGATCGAGAAGACTTTTCAATCAATCTATTGACAGTTTCACTAGTTTACACACATCGAGAAAAGTTTAGATCGAATGTGTTGGTAAAATTTAATCCTCCTATTGTTCTTACACCAAAACATCACTCGCTTTTAAAAAACATCACCAGTGATGGACAAAAAAGAACTAGTGAACACGCGATACGTGAATTAACGAGTGCTATGGAGGAAATGGTGCGTTCAAATACGTTGGATGCACCAGATTGGCAAACTTTAAGGATTGCACATACGGCCAGAAAATTGTACGCGGGCGACCTCGGCACTCGTATCTCTTTAGCAGAATATGTGCGTCTTACAAAGATATTCATAGATGCACTTTCGAAAGCCGAAGTCAGTAGTCCGGTTTCTGAAACTGAGAATGAAATTTTAAATGGAGAAGAAAGGGAGATAATTGTAGAACGTATCGATGCTGGAAATCTATTGTATGTTGATGATCCTGATCAAGATAAAGAGAAAGAAAATCGATCGGGTGTAGACTTGCTTTTATTATCAAAGGATTTAGCTGTAAGTTCGGTAGCACACAAGATTATTCTTATACACACGAGATATATTTAACATGTTCCATATCATAAAAGGCGTATCAAGATCTTCTCGATTCCTATGGAATAAAGGACTACAGGTTTAGTCGTTCTACTCCACTTTCAAAGCTTGAACTCGTAGGGCGAATTATCGTTCGCATAATTTGGACACTGTTTCTTGCCACTCTTGCGCTTCCCGGGTGGATTTTATGGTCTCCAATATTTATTGCTGTGAAGTAAGTATTTTTATTATTTATATTACTCGATTCCTTATAACAGATAGTTCCTAATATAATGATTCCTGTTAATACATAGATATAAGGAACACCAAATACGAAAATTACCAATCGAAGATAACTTTGATGAGATCACTCAATACAAATTGCTTATCTCCGCGATACTTTTAGTGCCAATATATGTGACGGCCTTGTTTATAACATTACCTTTTATTTTTGTCACATCGTGGCTAGTACCGTTGTTCATGTGGTTAACTATAAGATGGACTGAAGATCTATTCCAAGCTTGCAGGTCTTGTATATCTTTAACCAAATTGTTGTTACTCCCGGACGGAGAATATAACAATATCAAAATTTTTCGTGAAGAACTTAAAAGTAGAGTACAGTTTTTAGCGGTAAATGAACTTGGTTTACCGGTAAATCCGGAAAATTTGATTAGCAGAACAAGACCTAGGGGAATGGGATACTTCTCTATTAAGAGTAGGAGAAAGAAGGATTACAATGAAGTTTTAAGACTCTGGGATGTTTCAGCTTACAATTGAATACATTCTATTGGTTGCTTTATTTCTCATTTTTTAAACAAGAAATAATAATATATTTATTATAACATCTATCGTTCATATATAATGCTTAAATAAATAACGTAAGTTTTGTCTTGAGAAAGTAATCCATTAGATCACGAATAATAATAAATACAGAGAAATCGCGAAAAGAACGGCGCCTTTTCTTTACTATTTCAAAGAATAAATTATGAACTTCTTTGTTATTTGACAAATTAAATATTAGATTCTGAGTAAATTTAAATGTCAACATTTCTAGTCCTCAAACAAGAAACCGTTATTAAAACTTGTTGAAGTAGACTTATATATAAACCACTTTGACCATTTATAATCAGGAAAAGAGAAATTCCATCACGCGTTTAGAGAATTTTCAAGTTTCTTTATGTCATCAAACAAATCTAGTAATGTTGCAGCTGACCATGCTTGAGTGGGACATGCGTGCAAACATTCTGCTCCGTCTGTGTTAGTCAATTCAGGTAAACCGGCCCAGGGACTTGTTTCGATGAATGATCGATGTGGGAGAAGATGACGAGTTATGGCATGCACTGTTTCATGTGGCTGCACAAGCAAGAGCATTAATATAATAGAATGACATAAATCATGGATTCATAAAACCTACATCATTTTTTCCATTACCGACTCGGGTATCAAAATATAAATATGCTCGAAGGAAATATCCGGTAACCCAAAGCCATTCCTTGTAAATTTAAAATTTAGTTCCAAATTACGGTTCTCGTTATGCTTGAACAATTTAAAAAAAAGCAACTTTACTTACAGGGCCCTGATGATAATTCCATCCCTTAGCTATGTGCGGATCTGTACTATCGTTGTTATTGTCATAATCACCGCGATATGCCCAATCGGCAGGGTCAAGGGTACGCATACCTAAAGGCCCGGCAAGAACTTCGCGTACCGTCTTCAATGCTTGATATGCATGATGTGGATCAAATAATTCGGGCGCCTAAACATTCATAAGAAATTGTAATTGCATTCAACGAATTATAATTAGTCGATTACACTTACCACAACCATTGCAATTGGGAAGTTCGGCCTCAGTTGATAATCTTCGAATTCTCTTGATGATTTGTGTACGTCTTTGTAAATGCCTCGACGGCTGACAAGTTTAGGATTCAACACATATCTTGAATCTTTATTCGGTTCTTTTAATAAAAAAAAAGTAATTATAAGTCGGACAGATGAACCAAAAGAATACAGATTTGTGATTTATTATTACCTAGTGGAATGTAAAAATTCTCTTCGAATGATTGTTGAACTAAATCATTCCAATCATCGTATGTCACAAGCCTTTTGACACGACCCTCTATAATCACACAATGATTAAATTTGAACAAACAACAAGATAGTACACTCAAGTTGTCGGTAGTTACCTTTAATCTCTACGCCTTTCCATGGATAAATGTCCATGTCTAATAATTCAACTATCCATCTTAACGTGGATTTCAGCAATCCAATGATTTCCACAGCTGCACCATCCCTTGGCGTTGCAGGTTTCCCTATATTTCCTGCCTTTTCTGATTCACCCATTTTGTCCATCCATGTACCACAATTATGTTTATTACCTCCAATCAAGAATCCAGTATTCCAATCAACGCTAATGTTAACTAGGAATCCCTGGGGTGTCATTTTACTATCGAGATTAGGACCGGCATTCCACTCCTTAAAGCTTATTCCACGTGCATGACGTTCCATAATTTCTTGTATAATTTGGAGAATGGTAGTCTTGTATTTGTATGCCAAAGGGTCATCCGCTTCAATGAATACATCGTTCTTTGGAAATCGTCGAACAACTGGTGTTTTGAGAAAATCCAACCCTTCAGGTGAGAATTTACAATAATCCTGGATCGCTTGGAGGTACCACCAAGTAGCGTCACGACAATTGTATCGTGGGCGACGACCGCTATCTAACAAATTAGGTATCATCCCATGCTTAAGTACAGCGCCAAATGCAAGTATGTGCTCCCTTGCCGCTTCATAATTTCCTGTGGTGAGAAACAGGCCGCGTAACGAGATAAATACATCCCGACCCCAAACTCTCATGTGACGGTAAGTAAAATGAGGCAATCCTGCAGCCATTGATGGACTCACTCCTGTGGGGTGCAATCCTGTGGATAATACTGTTCCGTACATTTGAACAGAACACATAGCCAGTGATCGAATAAATGATCCTCCTTCTCGTACAAAAGGTGACATCTGATTAAGTGCCCGCCTTATAGCTGTTGCATATGCTGTTTTAATAAGCAACGCAAAATATTTGGGAATTAAGAAGTTCGGAATATTCTTTATGGTGGTGATTCTTTCACGATACCAACTACACAATTTCCTGAGATTTGGTGCATACTCCAGGTGCCTTTTTAATATACAATCATCAATTATTGTTTAGTTATGTAAATAAGAATATTTATTGATTTCATATACCTTGTAAGGCGATCCACTACATAATCCAGAGCCCAATGGCCATTGCGTAAATTCGTACATAGTGGATGACCCAAGTCATTTTCTTTCATAATTGGACGCAACGCCGACATGAACCCTTCCAGGCCGCTGTATGGAATTTCTCCGAAATCGGGAATGTTATAGACACCATGACCAGTAGTGTCCATTTCTTCTCCAGCACAGCGATACAATACGATATTTAGATCAACCAAATTCAAATCCGAAAAAACCTCGTCAACATCAGAAGTAATAAATTCATCGAGAGAACTGTGTTGCTTGTCAGCCCATGTTCTTAATAATATAACACTACCGGAAGGGAATTCTTCCGGTAAAGTAATTTCCGTGAACTGACCGTGTTCATCGTTCCCTTCAATTAAGCTTGGCGCATTTAAAGATCTAAGAGATGATGGAAGTCCAGTAAGATATTCTTTTTCACGAATGAATTCATTCAAGTGAACGTCCAAGCTAACAGAGAACAGTAATTCTGCTTTGGTGCCTCGTAGTTTCATAGGTGATACTGATGAAAGTTTGATATATATATATACATATATTAGTTAATCACCACATGAAATTAATTATTAATAAAAAAAAACAGGCCCGAAATTACATACGAGAACCACGGTTTTTTCTGGGACCAGTGAATGCACAATGAGCAATTACCAGATACCCATTGTGATTATGTGGATGAACGCGATGTACAACAACACACTATCATGCAAAAATTTATAATTAGATGTGAATAGAACCAGATATACAATAAGTTTCTAATTTTTGTTCGTACATCGTTTTCATGGTAAACATGAGTTTCGATATATCCATCGATGGCCATTTCAGTATGTAAATGTTGTAAAACTTTTTTGACTATTAAGTGAAAAACAAGGTTAAACATCAGAGTTGAAATAATAAATGATACACACATATATGTATGTAACTCGCCTCGGCCGATACCAACATCAAGAGGTCTCTCATGTAACTTGTAGTGTCTTTTTTCTTTAACTAAATCAACCAATTTCGGATAAACCTCGTCGTAGCCTTTTACACTTCCAATAGCACAAGAAGTCATTGTAACAAGAGCCCCATTCGGTAAAGTGTCCTCAGCTGTACGTTTTTGATGAGGGGTTTGATTATCGTGGGTACAATCCATGTAGAGGGCATGTGGATTAGATCCTGGAACAGGAACAACAATACAAGGAGTATCCGAAAGCCCATCGACACCCGTACAGGTAGATACGTCCGCAAGGCATTCCATTTCCATGGATCCTTTGTAATTTGTAGGTGATGTGAGCGACGTGAGGCCAACTTAAAAAAAAAAAAATTATTTCAAGTCAATATGAGATTAGCCAATTTGCAGGATAAAGGAAAAATATTTACCAACGGGCTTTCCTCCATGCCTATGAACCAATCTACTCAGCTCGCGTGGATCCCATGCCTGCATAGCTTCTCGAATAAGTGAATTAATGCCCAACTTGCGCACAAATTTGATATCAGTTTCCTCAGAACCGGTGAATAATTCCGCGATAACATAGAGATTTGGTCGAATGGAACGAGCAGCATCGAGAAGATAGGTGCCGACGTGAATTGGAGTAGAGTGACAATTATCAATCCGAAATCCATGAAACAATGATGCCAATAGCTCGGTGTATTTTTTCATGTGATCCCAGAGCCAAGGTGAATCTTCCTTGCTTTCACCATATCGCATCTTAACGCAATCACCCCATATAATCACTTCTCTCCTCAGGTAGGCACGCGAATTGCTGCTAGCGAAATCTTTCAGAGGATCTGCATTCCATATCCAGCCATTATTTGCAACCACAAGTGCTCCTTCAGGAAAATGTCGTGTCTTTTCGTTAAGAGGAATACGTGTAAAGTATGATTCAATAAGAGGGTGCCTAAAAGAAAGTTAAGTTACTTTTAATAGTAAAAAAATATTATGAAGAACTTGTGTATATATTTACGGTTTATTAATCTCTCCCTGTTTCGGACCCTGTGGATCAAGTTTTAAGTATCTTATGCGATTCCTTGCATTTTCGAGGATAATGTCAATGTCATTGTCATATTCTTTATAGAATGGCAGATTGATTTCGTTGATGAGCGCATTAAATTTTTTTATTTTAATCTCATTTAGTGATAAAGTAACTTTGACACGACGAACTCTTGGTTTGACAGCCGTAGAGGCAACAGGTTGTTCATTAGATAAAGCTTCTGTATTGGAGAGAGAATTCTCCGAACGGGTCTCAGTGGAGGTCGAGCCTGATCCAAGCTTGGTAGATGTGTCTCTTGACTCGACCTCGGATGAAAGTTCGACACTGCCAGACTTTATTTCAGCAACTTGAGTATCCTCCATAAATTTTTCTTGTGACTTTGTACTAGATCTTCTGGACGATGATGCTCTGACAAGAGTAGGTCGTTCGGTGATGGACTCAAGTGAGAAATTCGATTTCTTTTCTCCGGACATTTCCTCTATTTGTTTTTTTTTTTCTGTTTCAATCAACTCAGGATCTTGATACAACTTCAATTCTTCATTTGTTGGAACATATGTTTCTTCGATTTCTGTGGTGTATTCGGAAACAGGCAACGCATCAACCAACCGATCGATGAATGCTCTTGCCACGTCAATGTCGATCTTTTTATGAAACCTTTGACCAAAAGAAGATTTTTCAAAAAGACCTTTTTCGACCAGTAGATCTGCCTGTGCTTTAAATGAAAGCGCGGCAATATTGATATCTTTAAACAAATTTTCGCCAACTGGAGTATCATTCTCTAATGATTTTTTGAATTCTTCTAAAGCTTCCTTGATGTCAATAACATAAAATTCCCATAGTTTTATCTTTTTAATCACATGTTGCTTTACGCCTTCGATAACTGCGTTCAAATCCGATTCGGAATGGACAAAGGTTGGAAGCCCAAGTGAAGACAGATTTTTCGAATACTCCCGAAAAGCCGAATCTAGCTCATAAGCAGGAATGAGATGCGGCGAATTCACCAAGTTATAACCTTCATTCGATTAACCATAAAATAAACACGTTAACAATTATAGTATCCTTTTAATACTAAAAAAAACGGAAATTTTTAGAGAAAATACACACAGGCCTCTGGGTGTTCCTGAAGCCATTGACTATTTGAAGCAGTATGATTCCAGACGATATCGGATAAACTTAAAATTCCATATTCTTCATCAAGCCTAGAGACGGTTCGTCCTATTATCCCGATCTTTTCTTTGTTACTTTTATTACGATCTTCTTCTTCAAATAAATCATCTGAAAATGATAATTGATCGTATATAGAATAAGGGGAATCTGATGAACCACGAGCCTGCATTGGCACGAAATGAACCATATTGTATCCCAGATCGGATATATCTTTCATGTAAGCATCCCATTGAGATAATGTACCCATCAACTTTGGCAGCAAAGACTGAATGACAATTCCATCTAGAGGAAGAACGATTTTATTCTCATCGGAAAGAGGTTCAGCTGATAGAATTCGATTTCGTGGGGCTGTTTCAAGTATCGGATCAACAGTAAAGTAGTTCATTTCAGACACCATTGTGGTGATTTTCGTCTTCTCTGGTGTAGGTAAACTTTGATATTCGACATAAAATTCAAAAGATCCCGATTGCTGGATAACGATGTCTACGTTGAGAGGTTTGGAGAAATCATTCGGAAATCTTCATTGAAAATAGATGATTAGACGAACGTTTTATTTTTTCGCAGCAAAAAAATTATTTCACCTTATAGCCCTAAAACTTGCTCTTTCAAAGTCTCCACTAAATTAAGAATTTTTATTTTTAAAATTTCAACAATGAATTTCACCCCCAAAACAACAGATGAATGAGAAAGAATTCAATTGAAGTTACTAGAATTCTCTTCAACTGTCATTACCCATCTAAAGGATGATTGGTATATAAAACCCCCCCATGTGAGGCAAAAGAACCCGAACGAATGTTGAATCGAAGGATGTAAGGCTTTACAGGAGGTGGAAGGCGGATAAATTGCTTTCTTTTACTAAGAGATCCATCTCCTTCAAGTTCGAGGCGATAAACAGTAGTTAATGATTTGCTTGATTTACTTTCGCTCATTTATTAAACCCGACAGAATTGTCGATGAGATGAAAATACATAATAATCCTTTTATAGCAACAGACCAAAATGATTGATGCCAGTTCTGAAAAAGGAAAATAGGCTTTCAGGTAACCACAATATAGCTAAACAGGGCAATTATCTCATATTTATCTAATTGATCGGCATTAAATCAAGTTTCCGTCATCATTCTCCGATAAAAATGATAAACTCTTTTCGTTTCAAATACAAACCCCTTTATAGAGAAAATTTCCTATTGTGTAAACTTCCTTACAGAATTCGAGAAAAATTATTGCACAACACCCAAACATTTCAAAAAGCTTTATTGACGAAAATCAATGGTGAAAAGGAATGCAGAAATAATGTGATCATGAAATTGAAAAAGCGTGGTCTGGTTAATTCATTAACCAGGTATGTATTCACCTTCGTTTCTTACCAATCGATCTTGGTACCTTAATATTTCTGAAGAAATTTTTCTAAAAAAAAAAAAAAAAGTCCAGATATAATAAATCTCGTTAATAAACCGACAACCGTTTACTGCGGATTGGATCCAACTGCACCAAGTTTACACCTAGGAAATCTGCTAGCGCTTATCTGCTTACTGCATTTTAACGTTTTGGGTCATCGCGTAATAACATTGGTTGGTAACGAACGGTTCTTGATCCGTGTAATTGCAGAGGAAAAATAAAAATAAATAAAATAAAATATTAAATACATTAGATTGGCGGTGCAACGGGCTTAATTGGTGATCCATCCGGGCGTAATGTCGAGCGAAAACCTTTACCACAGTCTACCATCGAACATAATATCGTCGCTATTGATCGACAGATACGCAAGATTTTTGACAATGGACGAAATTACGCGTCAAGACGTGGTTACGTTTCTATTTATGAATCAGATAACGTGATAATAAAAAATAATTTGGAATGGTTTCAAAAAATGACTGCTTTGGATTTTTTGAGTGACATCGGGAGGTACTTTAGGGTTGGGACGATGCTGACAAAAGATAGGTAACTCTACGCATTCCGAATTATAACATTTTAGAACTTCACCTATATATGACGAGTACTTTTCAGTGTCAAATCCAGGATAGAGAACGAGGGTGGTATAAGTTTTACGGAGTTTTCTTATCAATTACTTCAGGCTTACGACTTTTGGTATTTGTATAGTTATTATAATTGTCAAGTTCAGGTAAGCAAAACTTTTGCGTTGCATTATGCATCTATGAACCATTGTCAATACTTTTCGGTTGTTTTAATTTTAGTTAGGAGGAAGCGATCAGTGGGGAAATATCACTAATGGAATTGATCTGATTCACAAAAAGAGTACTTTTAACAATGTTAAAGTAAATGAGTCAAAAAACCCAAACATTAAGAAAGTATACGACGCGTTTGGAATCACTATACCTTTACTATTAACTTCATCAGGAGAGAAGTTTGGTAAATCTGCAGGAAATGCAGTTTGGTTAGATGACAAAATGACAAGCGCGTATGAATTTTATCAAGTACTTATTTGTTTTATTCGATTCTCCGAAATAATGTAATTCAATCGACTAAAGACTTCTACTTATTTCTGATAGTATTTCATGAAAATCTCTGATGCTGACGTAGAAAAGTACTTGTATTTGTTTACTTTTCTAAAAGGGGAGGAGATAACTCAGATTCTCAAAACACATTCTGTATGAATAGCTAATTAGACAATGTTATTTTTAGTTGTTATTTACGTTCATATTGATAAATGAAGATTCTAATAGGAATCCCCTGAAAAGCATCATGCGCAAGAAAAATTGGCATCCGAGGCCACGGAAATGGTTCATGGTTGTAAGTTCCGCATTGTTCTTTGTAAAGACAATTTTTCGGAAAGATATTAATACCATCATTGATTAATTAGTGGAGGGCCTGCGAAAAGCCAGAGTTGCCACCGATATTATTTTTGGTACATCCATCAAAAACATGAAGAGCCAAGATATAATTAATGCCTTTTCGAACGATACCCAACATCTAAAATCAATTAAACGTAATGAAGTCCTTAATTACACGATTGACCGCGTTGCTGCCACTTCTGGAGTGTGTAAATCACGCAGTGAAGCAAATAAGTTGATTAAGGCCGGTGGCCTTTATTTAAACAATGAGCGAATTGATGACTCTCAATATAAATTATTAGAAGATGACTTACTAGATGGAATATTGTTCGTATTTAGAACTGGTAAAAGTAATTATCAGTTGGTGAAGATTATTGATTGAGTGGACGGTTATCTATTGTTGCGAATTCAATCATTTCCGAAAAATGAATGATTTTTTTATGTATTCAGGTTTGAAGACGAAGTCGTTGATGTCTTTTACATTGTCTATTTTCAAAATTTGATAACTTTAATAATTAAAAATTTTCAAAAAATTATAACTGATAAATATATAAATAATTAATAAAAATCAGGAATGTATCAAGTGTATATTTTTAGGAAGTTTTTTATTTTTCTTATTATATACTATACATGTATTGTATTATTATATTATAGAATTAGTAACAAACTATATATATACAGTGTGGTGCAAAAAATTTTGGAATTTTTTATTTATTCATTACTCAAAAACTACTGCATAGAAATTAATAA